AGGATTGGGTAAGTATAGTATGTTTATTATTTTAGGGAAAAAATATTACTTTTACTATCGCTTTCTTCTCTCTTGATAATCCTGTACCATCAAATGCTGGTACACAGTGAAGTGCCTTTCCTGTGCTTTTCAATGGCAGGTCAAATGACCAATGACTCAGCATTAGTCTTTTGGTCTCTGCCAAAGGGAAGAATCAGGGTTGGGTAGATGGACTGATGACTAGAACCAAGCTCACTCTGCAGAGACCATATAACCCATGCCATGCAACGCCACATAAGCACCATTTACCTAATAATATTTCACAGCCAGTTCTTATTATTTCTTAAGCTGGATTGCCAGGAGAGCTCTGAGTTGCTGTTTCACTTGAGGGCACGTTCAAGATCTCCCCTGGTCCCTGATTTGCATATTTATGATTATCAAACTGTTTCTTACATCTGTGAGGGACAGTAATGCGTTATATGAGTCAGACACCCATTATTGGAGACATCCAGCCAAATGAAACTCTAAAATAAATGAAATATCAATCAGATGCTATCATTGGTTTGCCAGGTGTCATGGCAGATCCACCATTTGGGAGACTCTGGAGAGGACCATCAGATATCTCTCCACCTACCACGGTCAAGGAGACATCTTCCCTTCTCTGTTTTACATGTTTTATGAGTTAGATTTTACCCTCTGTTTCTATTTTCTTTTTTAAACATTAGCTTAGATTTGGCTTTTCATGTTCCTGAAACCCTTTGGGGTTTATTTACTAAAGCTGGAGAGTCCAAAATCAGACTCCCTTCTGCATAGAAACCAATCCGCTTCTAACCTCAGCTTGTTCAATGAAGCTTTGGCAATGAAACCTGGAAGCTGATTGGTTTCTATGCAGAAGTGAGTCTGATTTTGCACTCTCCAGCTTTAGTAAATAAACCCCTTTGTGTCGACTAACAGGGAAAATATGCAAGAAATGTAGTTTCTGCTTTGTTTTTGTTTTCCAAAATCGAGCAAGAAGTATTTTTATGATGGGAGGACTCCTTCTTCTTTTTTTTTTTTTTTTTTTTTTTTTTTTTTGACGTGTGAAGGTATATAAAAAATAAAATAAATAAATTAGATAGTAATTTGAACATGGATGGGGAAGTGGGTCCTCTGCTTGAAGGGAAGCTGACCGTTGACATATAATGTAGTATTGCCAGTTTTAGTTAAAAATGTCACTAGTTTATTAAAGCAGGACCAAATGTTGTAATACTTATCTTAGTTCCAGCAGTCTGATGCCTGTGAAGTACCTCGCTGGGCAACCTCCTGGGTGCCAGTCTTTGGCCATCTTGATCGGCTGGCATGGGATGTTGTCACTCCCGCACATGTCCAGGAGTGCAGTCATTCCGGCACACAGGTAGTGTGCAGAATTGTAACTGAGCTGCACATGCATGGCTCAGTGTACAATCTACAGGGGATTTCAGACAGGCAGGTAGGTGTATTTTATTGCAGAAGGGACATTGCATGTCTCCTCTGTAACAAAAGGCATGACTGTTTGCAATTTTTCATTTTTTTTTTAACTTTAGTGCTGCTCGAAGCCTGCATGATCCCCAACAGTTACTCAACACTCAGCCACTTATCTGTATGTTTTTAAAGTAACAACCAAAGAGACAGTGTGCACCGTACAGTATCCTGTGCTAGCTGTACTTTTACTGACATTGGCACAGCAGGAGATGATTTTTAATTTTTCTATAAGGATTGCTTTGCTTGTTACACTGCTGTCTGTCTAGTAAAACAAACCACTTTGTGTGTGTGTTGGTCATTGGTCTTTTGTTCCATGAACAGGTCTTGCAGAATGTTCTGTAGATGTTTTTCAGGCATTACAGTGTACTGGATTCTGAGGAATTTGTTTTGCGTGCTGTTTATCCATTCGTTGACTGAAAGAAGCCTAGATTTTGGTATTTGCTTTCTTTGCGTGAGTTGTCATTCGACTCCGGAGATGGAGGAGGCATGTTCCCTGCTCTGTTTTTGGCAACTGGACCTTGGCTGTGCATAGCAGGGGGGAGCAAAGGGGATGTCAGAGCTTGCTGTATGTCTGCGGCTTGCTGCTCTGAAGTGTCAAAAATGTATCCAGTCTGCTGGTAATTTGAGGCAGGAGAGATGGCTTATGTCTACGGATCAACAAGACTTTGCTTGCACAATCTGTTGTTTTCTCTGGTTTATGTGCTGCTCTAATGAGCTGTCTCTGCCTGGCGAATGGGTTCAGGTGTATCCTATGCTGTTGTTTTAATATTTGGTGTTTTTTTTTTGTTTGTTTTTTTACAATTGTTGCTGTTCTCTTGTGTACAAGACATGAAAATTGTTTGGTTTACCACAATAAGTCCTCATGCACACTTGATGTTTTTACAGCTGCTGTTTTTGGCGTTTGACATTTTTTCTACAGTCCATAAACTCCCCCAAAACTTTTTTGGTAAAAAAAAAAACCCGTTCGCAAACGTGGAAAAATGCAGGAAAACACTGCTAATCGTGGCAAAACGCCTCTAAACACTAAAAAAAGCTGAAAAGCTTGCGTTTTTAATGTGACTTTACACAGCTAACGTTACCAGCATTCTCAAAACATCCCGTGTGCATGAGGGTTAAAGTTGTCCAAAGTGTTTCAGTTGACTGCAGCTGATCATGTTCTATGTGACATTGCACACTGGCAGACTATTGGCTAATCTGTTTCAAAGAGTCTGGTTAGTACCATTAAAATATGTGATCAGCTGTCTGGGTCACTTCATGCTTGCACATGCTCAGAAGATTGTCCATGCTAATAGCTTAAAGAGAACCAGTCACAACCAAGCTACTTATGCCTGAATCTGAATTTTCAGTCCTTGTGACCCTGTTAACCTGCTACAGAGAGGGGGCATAAAATCCTCAAATAAGACATACTCAGAATTTTGGAAACTTGTGTGTGTGTGTGTGAGATCAAGTAGTGGATGATGCAACAGCTGTCAGTCTTCCGTTGACTTCTGACACTCAATGTAAAGAACGAGACTTAAGCCTTGTACACACGATAAGAATATCAGCCAAACGACCATCTTTTTTTTTTTTTTTTTTGTGCATTCTAGTCTCATATCAAAAATGAAGAGGTTACTAAAGGCCAGAAAATTCTTGTGTGACAGAATATAGTTTCATAAGCGATGTATTGTTTTTGTAATGTATTCTTTCATTTCTGAACATCCGTGGTCCTGGGTGGTCGATTTTTTTTTTTTTTTTTTTTTTTTTTTTTTAATGGGCGAATATTGTACTGTTTGCATGAAAATTGTTGTTATCGTATGAGTTTCATGCTGGTCTTTTCAGGCAATTTCGCATAAACTGTTGTGATAGGCTGTCGAACGCTGTGTACTAACGATTAGATTATCGGACGATTGCTATGAAATCAGTATTTTTTTCAGATTTTCACATCACTTATACTAGGCATTAAGTCCGGTGTACAAAGGCTGAAAATCAAGCAGTTCAGTAGGAACCAGCCAATTTTCGGTATGTTTATACACGTGTCTCTTCTACAGAAGACAGTCTTAATGGCTGACTTCTGTCGATTGGGCATGCTGAAAAAACAGTATTCAATCAGTGGGGGAGATTGCTGCATCAAAATTGCTTCTGTTGGTGCAGTGATCTTTTGGGGTTTTTTTCCTTTTCATTCTACCTGCTGGATGAAGGAAAAATGAAACTGTATACATAGCTTAAAGGTATAGTTCCACTTTTGCAGCCAATTGGGAAAACACAAACTTTATATTTGTTACATCTCTCCATTCACATAGCAAAGGAAAATCCTACATAGTTCTCTTTGTTTATGAAGGTACTGGGTAGCTGTGTTTGCCATAATTAACCCTGTCTGTACCATGCAGGCATATCAGTTGTTCCTAGATTTGATTGGGATGTGTCCTAAAAAAGGGTTTAGAGACTTTGCTTCTTACATTGTATGTTAAGGACAGACTTGGGATAGGCTCACTCTGACATTGTTCGAAAAACCTTGCAGTCTGCCATGACGCCTTTTTTCCTGAGAAACACCTGAAAGGTAAGAAATTATTTTAAAAATATTTTCTGGGCATACCGTGTGAATGGGACAACATAACAAAAACATAGTGGGGGTTTCTCAAATTTGACTGCAAAAGTAGAAATATGCTTTTAAGTAAAGCCAAGGTAAATTGGGAAAAAATAATCGTTAAGCCTGCACAATAAGTTTAAGGCCTCATTCACACAGCCGTAAATAAAAACGCATATACAAGTGTTTTTTCAGTACAGATCTGAATGCAGCTGCATTGTTTTCAATGGAGCAATTCACACAGGTGCATAAACATGAGCTGCTTTCAGATCCATAACATAGAATCCAAAAATCTGCATCTAAGAACATATGCTTTATATACATGCGTTTGTATGCACGTAAATTAAGTCTTAACAAAAAACAAACAAAATTACTATCAAAATAAAGTATGTATATATACATGTTTTTAAGCATCTTGGATACATTTAAACGCATCTATATCCAAGTATTTTACTGATCATTATGCAGACACTTTTCTCCTAGATGTGTAATACATTTTTAAAGCCGTGTGAATGAAGCCTAAGACTTTGTATTTGTGTTTTTTGTAGTGACTGGTTCCCTTTAAAACACTGTAAGCTTGATCTCATATATACAAGTGTTAATAGGTGGAGCCTCTGGCAAGATCAGTGTAGCCTATGTTTATTTACTCGAATCTCTGGCTGGCTGAGCGCACCCATTTCTATGTGCAGATAATTTTGGTCTCTTGTAAACACAGGTGCATTCACTAGTGACTGATTGAAAAGAGTATCGTACGCAGGTTAGGGAAATGAGTTTGATTGCGTTAGGCCTGTATTAGCTAAAAAAAAATTACATCTCATATTTCTTTGTTAAACCAAAGGTAAAGTTTTGGATGAAATTATTGTAATTCTGTGTCCTTTTCACTTGCAGTACATTACACACCAGAATCCTAGTATCCTAATTGCACAAACTGATTTTTTTTTTTTTTTCTTCCATTTAGCTACATGAAAGCAACTATGATGCTGGGAAGGCACTGCAACGTTTAGTGAAGAAGCCCGTTCCCAAGCTGATAGAGAAGTGCTGGACAGAAGATGAAGTGGTAAGAAAATGCCACCACGTATTTTATACATAACTTCGGCAGATATCTTATATCCATAAGCAGTCATAAATATATTCAGAACTATGAAAGATGATCTCTGCCATGTATAGATTGCATTGAAACTGAACAGCTAGCATAAACCCTGTGTAGTTACACAGATATTGTGGTAAGGGATGCAATGTTTCTGATTCCCATGCATCCAACAATCAAATGCATGAAATAATTAAAAAACACTCCTCTCCTTTATCCTGTCAGGAGTGTCAGTGGTGTGTCACAGACACAGCAGATCTCTCATTTTATCCTAAAGTGATTTAAATTTTTTTTGTGTTTTCTTATAACAGGTTTATGCTTACAGAGGGGAAAATAATTATTTGATCCCCTACAGATTTTGTTAGTTTACCCACTTACACATAATGAAGGGTCTATAATTTGTATCATAAGTGTATTTTGAATGATAGAGACAGAATATCAACCAAAAATCTAGAAAAAACACACAAAATGTTATAAATTGTGTTGCAGTTCAGTGAGTAAAAGACGTATTTGATCCCCGAACAAAACATGACTTAGTACTTGGTGGAGAAACCTTTGTTGGCAAGCACAGAGGTAAGAGGTTTGCACACATCTCAGGAGGGATTTTGGGCCACTCTTCCTTCTCTAAATGGTTAAGGTTTCTTGGCTGTTGCTTGGCAACTCGAAGATTTAGCTCCCTCCATACTTTTTCTATAGGATTAATGTCTGGAAACTGGCTAGGCTACTCCATGACCTTAATGTGCTTCTTCTTGAACCACTCCTTTTTTTTGCCTTGGCGGTGTTATGGCTGAAGGAAGAAAGTTCTCATCCAAGAGTTTACAATTCTTGGCCTTGTCCATTGGCACCTCAATGCAGCGGAGTCTGCCTGTGCCTTTAGCAGAAAAACCACCCCAAAGCATAATGTTTCCACCTTTATGCTTGACTGTAGGGATGGTGTTCTTAGGGCTATAGTCAGCATTTTTCTTCAAACACGGCGAATTAATATTAATGTCAAAAAGCTAAATTTTGGTCTCCTCTGACCACAGCACTTTCTCTCAATCCTTCTCTGAATCATTTAGATGTTCATTGGCAAACTTCAGATGGGCTTGTACATGTGCCTTCTTGAGGAGGGGACCTTGCGGGTGCTGCAGGATTTCAATCCATGGCGGCGTATTTTACCAGTGGTTTGTAGCTGTGGTCCCAATTTGCTTTGAGATCATTCACAAGCTCCTCCTGTGTAGTTCTGGGGCTCACTTTTCTCATGATCATCCTTACCCCATGAGGTAAAATCATGCATGGAGCTCCAGACCGAGGGCAATGGATGGTTATTTTGTATTTCTTCCATTTGCGAAAAATTGCTCCAATGATTATTGCCTTCTCACCAAGTTTCTTTCTGATGGTCTTGTAGTCCATTCCAGCCTTGTGCAGGTCTACAATCTTCTCCCTGATGTCTTTTGACGGCTCTTTGGTCTTGCCCATGATGGTGAGTAAGAGTGCGATGCTGTGGACAGTTGTCTTTATACACATAATGAGTAGTCGTTAGGAGCACCTTCCTAAATTGACAGGACTAATCTGTGTACCACATGAGCACATAGTCAGTCTGTGTGAGCCAGAATTATTGTTGATTTGGTAGGGGATCAAATACTTATTTTACTCACTGAACTGCAACTCCGTTTATAACATTTGCATAATGTGTGTTTTTTTTTTTTGGGGGGGGGGGGATTTTTGGTTGATAGTCAGTCAGTCTGTCTCTATCATTTAAAATACATCTATGATAAAAAAATTATAGACCCTTCATTTCTTTGTATGTGGGCAAACTTACAAAATCTGTGGAGGATTAGATCATTATTTTCCCCACTGTACCTGCTCTGTCCAATGGTTTTGCACAGAGCAGCCCTGATCCTCCTTTTCTTGGGTCCCCCACCAGCACTCCTGGCTTGGGCCACTCAATCCCACTGAGTGTCCCCATATCAAGCTGCTTGCTGTGGGACACTCGTGAGCTCGTTTCGAGGCCTGGTCTGTGTGTCCATAGAGACACAGTGCGTGGCTCGGCCCTGCTCCCTCCTCACTGGCTGTGATTGGCAATAGCTGGAGCCAATGGCTGTGTCTGAATCTGAGGTGGGAGTGAGATGCTTCTCTCATGCACAGCGCTGGATACAAGCTGTGGCTCAGGTAAGTATTGGGGGGGACCTGAATACTGAAGGTTTTTAACCTTAATGCAGAGAATGCTTTAGAACCCCTTTAAAGTATAGCTAAACGCAAAACATTTATTCTATTTTTTTGATAGATTGGAGAGTGATTAGGTTACCTGTCGGGTTTTTATTGCTATCTGTGCTCTTGTTAGAGGTTTACCTTCTGTATTTGTCTTGTGAACGATTATTAAAAGTGAAAATCCCAATTTTTGGGTTGTCACCAGAACAGCAATAGTGGGGATATCTTCCAATGGGGACACTAGTTCTGGTGACAACCCAAAAATTGGGATTTTCACTTTTAATAATCATTCACCAGAACAGCAATAGTGGGGATATCTTCCAATGGGGACACTAGTTCTGGTGACAACAAGGGATTCCCTCACTTTAGAGGGGTTTTCTCTCACTTCCTATTTTGGCTATGGGACAGGAAATAAAGGAAAAGCTCCCTAATGGGGGACACGGGTTATAACCCTTCTTTACTCTATTCAATATTTTTTACACTGTTGCCTTTCGTTCAAGCTGATACAGATCAGAATTTATTGTGGTTGTCTTGTGTAATGCTTCATGCTTTTTTTTTTATAGGCATAAAATATACCTAGCATTTTCTAGGGCCCAAATAGCTGTGGATGGGGCATACAACCATCCATTGACGGGAGTGGCTGTATGCCACTGTACTCATACAGTCACCAAAGTTTCTGTGCATCAGCATTTACCCTTTTGTGCACTTATGCTGTGTTTTCCCAAATGCAGAAGTTTCCGTTCTGGAAAACAAGCCAGAGGGGTATGTGCTGGTAAAAGCAGATGTACAGAAGCATAAGTGTTTACACGCATACAGGTGCATACAGCCCTGGGCGCCTTTGATCTCTGCTGTGCAAATATTGAAACCATTTCTTTAGTCAAGAGCCTGTCCCTACCACCTCCAAGTTTCACTGTTGGGAAGTGAGGTTGGCCATCAATTGATAGGCCAACAGTGAGGCTTAGGAGGCTGAGGGGAGCAGGACTGATCTTTTGTCATTTTAAATTGCGTTGCTATTTAGAGTGGCCTTGTGAAGATTAGAAAATGTTGGAATATAGCCAGTAACTGGACAATGCTGCATTTTGAGTTGGCCACCATACACTGGCTCTGATCAGAGTGAGTGGGGACTAGTTCTATAGGCTCCCACCTTCTTAACCATGACTTTTATAGGTAATAACAAAGCCTGTCAACAGTTGCCCTTCTATTTACTGTGGCATGATAGCACCTTTAATTGTTGAAATATAGGATGCAAGTGTACTGCCTGTAGCATTGGTGCAAGGTTCCGGCAGGAGGCACTACGTGTAAGTCCAGATGTACTAAATGTTTTCAAGCAAATTATTATTGTCCTGGCTAGAGGTTATTCAGGTTATGCTCATACAGTTTTTTGCTCTTAGATTGTACAATACAGATAGAAAATGCTTCTCTACTTTAAGATGGTGGTTTTGTGTGCGTATGGTGGCTGTTCGTAATAACCCATGGCCAACAAGACATATTTTATCTATAAAAGGAACAGTCGGTAGCAGCTGTTTCCTGTTTATAAGGACACTTGGTCACACCTGGCAGAATAAATCTCTTCAGAGGTCTCAGCAGAATATATCCACATCACTAAATTAAAAGACAGATAAAGTACCGCAGCACATAAAACATGATAGGGTCTTTAGAAGCCTTGGATGGAGCTGAGGTGATGGCAGCTTTATGTTCTACTTCTGAAAATAGCCACAGTGTGGACTGTGCCATGCTGTAAAAGCCCAAGAAATGATATGACTGATGTGCCACCCAAGGACAAATTATTTCACCTTAATATATTTTATTCCTTGGGACAGCTACAAGTAAAATGTGCAAATCTTTTCATACTTTTTATGCTGTGATGCAGTGTTAACTTTACTGCAGCAAATTGTGCTTTTAGGTGTCTCCACTGACAACTTTGCTCGGCTAAGCATTGCTTCAGATGTGTTCTCTTTTTAAAAATAAGCATTTTAAAGATGTACTTAGGACTTGTACATGCATAAAAGCAGCTGTTCTTCCTACTCAAGGATAGAGCTTGGTAATTGATGTCATGTTTTTCTTTTTCCTGCTATGTTGCGTAATCTCTGACAACCCCACCCTGAAATAACAGCGATGATCAGTTCCGAAGACTGTATCAAGAATATCACAGACTGTCCCATTTAAAACAGGAGTGTGGCATGTCTGAGGGATTGTTCACACCAGCCATGTACTAATGCAGTCTGTGTATGCTGGTGTCCATTTTACCAGGCAGTGAATGGGTGGTGTGGGGGTGTGATGGTTTACTTTTTTTTTGCCTTTTCACTTTATTGAGAGTGTAAAAAGATATATACTCCATTCAAATCTCTGCACTGGAGTACATTGCATTGTGGTAAAAATGTAGCTTATCTGTATTTTCCTACACCAGACATTATACCAAGGTTATGGTGTGAATGGCTTTTTTTCATGTGCCCATTGTGGGTACTGCCATTGATTAGGTGCTGAAAACTGCCAGCCACGGCCCTGAAAGTGTGTATTTGATTTAGGGTTATAATACCATACACTTCCCTGGTGTTGGTTCACTCAGGCACTGAATTCTGGCAGGTGTTGGGGAAGTGCCTATGTTGTAACCTATACACAGAGGTAATAGATTTTGCTTGGGGCTTCAACTGTGGATCACAGCTGTGGAAATAAAGTAATAGAAACCTTGGGGTACTTGCTATGTGTAACTTAAAGCTTATCTATATCAAACAAAATGTAATGTATTGCAGCTTAGCAAACTTAGTGGCTGCTGTAGTTTTCTTTTTTCCAACCTTTTCTTCTTAGTTTCACCTAGTAATCCTGCAAAAAAAACACTCTTCCTCATTTCTCCACTGTATCTTTGAATAAAATCCATGGTTGTCAGACAGGTGGGGCATCAATTACATTTTTGTTTTCAAGTTTAGCTATGCTTTAAAAGACTTCAACTTATGAAAGTGCAGAGTTGCATTAAGATCATCTGATAGTAGATCTGATGTCAGGTGTGGTAGGACCTAATGCACCAACATAAAGATATGCTTTAGGTATTTTGGCTTTTTTCATATGCATTTACAGGAATGTGCTGTTAGTAAAAAAAAAAAAGGCAGTCAGATATAACTGTTTTAGGCAGATCATACATTATGGAATTTTTATTTCCTTTAACCACAGGTTGAAGGAAAGAAAATTGCTTGATTCCCCCATCGACACAGTCAAGTGTTGATGGGGGGGGAATACCTACCGCAGCGCTATTGTGTTCTGCTGACGGAGAGCACAGGGAACCTTCCCAACTGCCAGAATACAATGATCACTGCTGGCAGCTGTAGCCTCCTGCAGTGTTGGGGCAGAAAAAAAAGACAGGCTGGTTATACTGAAGTCGATTGACAGATCAATTTCAGTACTACCAGCCTGTCAGGTTTTTCAGGAAAGATTAGAGCCACCAGCTATTGTTACTGTCTTGGTGGGGGAATCAAGTACTTTTCTTTCCTTCCACTCCTGGTGGAAGGAAAGAAAATGGCATAATTTATGGCCTGACATAATTTTCTATTGCTGATGTTTTATCAAGTTACCTATCTTCTCTGTTGTCCTTAAAGCATTAGAGATCTTAACTTCTAACTCAATGCTTTGATAATACAGAAACGGTTCATCAAAGGATTACGGCAATACGGAAAGAACTTTTTCAGGATTCGGAAAGAGCTGCTGCCCAACAAAGAGACGGTCAGTGGTTTTGATTCACAGATTCTTTTCCCATTCTTTCAAAAAGCAAAAGTTACAGCTTGATATAATTTACAGTATTTATTTACAGTTAATGTTAATTTACAATAATGTTAACAAATTAATATGTGAATGTTTCAAGATCTGTGTGCTCAGCCCCACATTTGATGTTATTACCCTGCCCTACCTTTTCAAATAGTTATGATTTTATCCTGTTTTACAGTGCTGCTTACCAGTGATATGTTTCTTTGTTACAGACAAAAGTGTTTATGAACATTAAAGTGGATATAAATTTAAAATTTACTAGCCAACAGTGCATATTATTATTTCAGGTTCTTTTTTAGTGCCGTCAAATTACGCAGCGCTTTACATGTATGTAAGTGTATGTATGTGTGTGGTGTGTATATATATATATATATATATATATATATATATATATATATATATATGTGTATGTGTGTGTGTGTATGTGTGTATACATATATATATATATATATATATATATATATATATATATGTGTGTGTGTGTGTGTGTGTGTGTGTGTGTGTGTATAGATAGATGCGTGTGTGTGTGTGTGTGTGTGTGTATATATATATATATATATATAGATAGATAGATAGATAGATAGATGTGTGTGTGTGTATGTATGTTTGTGTGTGTGTGTATATATTAGTCACATCAGTCCCTAACCCTCAAGGAGCATACACACTCTAAGGTCCCTAACAGTCATACATACTAGGGCCAATTTGGACAGAATCCAATTAACCTACCAGAATGTCTTCAGAATGTGGGAGGACTGAGTGTCACATATGTGTATGTTATTTGTTGTATGTACCTGTAGTAGGGCCCAGAAGTAAGTGTACATTTTGCTTTTTTGTACCCTACCTAAAACACAATGACGCCAATTTAAAAATCCTGTGGGATTTTTTTTCTCCCTTTTTTTTTTTTTTTTATCCTGCCTAAATCTACAAAACCTAAATCTATACTTACCTTGACATTTGGCCCTTACCTTGACCCTAAAACTAACCCCGACACTGACCTAGATCTAAACTTAATCGGCACTCAGCAGGAGGGAAGGGCCAGGAGTGCCGATGGGGAACCCGAGAAGAGGAGGATCGGAGCAGCTCTGTGTAAAACCACTACACAGAACAGGTAAGTAAAACATGTTTGGTATTAAAAAAAAAAAATTCCCCTTAATATCACTTTAAACTTCAGGTGTCTCCAAGAAAGGTGGGGGTCTCAGGACAACATGAGGAGGGTTGCATTATTCCAGCATATAGGCTATTGTTTCCAATGATAGAAGCAGCACTAAGGCTCATGGGGAACACTTAAGACATGTTTCCTTTTTTTGGTAAGAAGCATTGTTGGCTTTTGTATCATTAGCGAATGATCACAGCTCCTTTTCCTTCTTCTACAGAAAGTTTCGGAGCCAAACTTTGTGTAGAAGAAGAAAGCTTGTCTCTGAAGCTTTGTTCAACAGAAAGCCAAGATCTCAATCCTTGGTGTGCAAGGACTGCGTTCCAGATATGAACCCATGTTATAACAGGGTTCCACACATCTCCGTTTTGTCCCTACTTCTACTCTATAGCAGTGAAGGAAGTTGTGCCTGCCAACACTGGTCAAATCCTCGATCAAATTACAGCAGGAACACCTGTAACATGCCTGCCAGCACAAGACTAAACCTTAGGTCAGATCTCTGCAGAATATCAAATCTCTGTGAACTCTGTAAATAGAGAAGAGTTCTGTATGCAAGCAACACCACCTTCTACTTCATGCAACAGCACGTCCTCAGGATCCATGATTCACATGTGTGTTTAATGTAAGATCGTATAATTCAATCAAAATTGACAAGACCCCACTGTATAATATTGCTCATAAGCAGTTTCGCAATACCAGTTTTCACCTGCAGAAGGTGCTATAGGTGGGATCTGTTATTGTCTTCCCTTGTAAAATATGGGGCCATACATTGATGCCAGAGAAAGCAACCTCCTGCAAGGGTCTTGGTAAGGAATACATTGAACGTATGTAACATTTATTAGTCTAGTTTTCTATGCCTGGAAGAAACATCTTGGTTTGGCCTATATACTGAACGCTTGGCAGAAAGTCTGTGGCTGTGCTATTTACATTTCCTGATTTATGGATGCTTCTCTACACAAATTAGAGCAGGCGTGTGATAAGAGCAAGTTGGGAGCACAGCAGGGTGCCCCATAGAGACGTCTGTTCTGTGCAGATTGCTCCTTTTATCCTTGTAGCAGTGAGGTGGCTTACAACAATACAACTGATATAGATGTTTTCTAAATGTCAAGGGGAGAATGGCGCTGATGGAAATGACAGAGAACAGTTGCCCCCTAGAGGAGATGTGTAGTAGTGCAGTGCTGCTTTCTATACAGTGTGGGAGATTTTTGATTGCACGCAACCTAAATAGTGTGCAGAACAGGTGCCTGAAGTATGTATCCAATAGCCCTGCAGCATCATATGCCAGTTATATATAAATAGCATGTGTCAGCAAGTGGCTAGTCTTCATGGGAGCCTGACAGATATTTTAGAGTTCTCTGTGCATCATTACTGCCTATTACCACCCTTATATCTTTCACAGGAATGTCACCAAGTCAATTAGCCTTTTCTGATGTGATAGGCTGGGACTGAAAATGCTGATACGTATTCATTTCTTGTGTGAAAGTTTGGCTGTGTTGCTTAAATTCTTAAAGCACCTGAGAATGGAATTTTGTGCTGTACGGTTTCCTTCCAAGCACAAGCCAACAATCTCGAAGCAAGATGTTTTTCATTAGCAGAAGAATGTGTGGTTTATTGGCAAAATCATTTAACACATTCTGCTGTAATGAAGATATTGAAGAAAATATAGACAAAATATATGGGAGAGGTCGTTCCCGTCATTTTAATGCAGTACACTATTAGAGTTTTTTTCATGTTATCTATAATACATATTCGTCGTTCTACTGAAAAGCTGTTTGCATGCTTGGAGGACATCAATGCAGACTTATATGGGATTTGTAGGCATGACCCAAATTTACACCCAAATCTCTCTCTGCCACCTAGAGCATGTCTCGGCAATCATTTTTTACCCTATTAGTGTAGGAAGAAACCGCTTTAAATTCACCCTGAGATTTTCTCATCAGGTTTGTAAAGTTATTGCAGTGAAGAGAGACCAGCAGGGCTCCTTAGATGTGTTGCTAATGATGTACACATGCACTACCAGAACTACATCTCCCAGAGCCCTTCACCTATAAATGGTGTCTAGGCAGGCTCTTAGAAGTTGAGGCAGAAGCATTGTCTTGCTGGAAAGTAATGTATGCATGTGGTGAGAGGCAGAGAGAGGAGGGGATTGACTGAGGTTTGTAGTCCAGCAGCAGCAGTGAACTCGGGTAGGGCTAATGACTCTGAATTTAAATGCAGCATAGGCAATATTGTTAGCCAACTGGAAGTTAGGATCTCCCTGGCATTCTTACCTGTTTTGGATTCCCAGTTATCCATTATTTTTCTGTACTTGCTGCATTTAAAAAAAATAGCTAATACCTACCGTATTTTTTGCTCCATAAGACGCACCTAGGTTTTAGAGGCGAAAAAACAAGAAAAAAAAATATTCTGAACCAATGGACTGCAGACATAGTACAGGAGATGACCAGAGACACTGCGGACTCGGTACAGGAGATGACCAGAGACTGCGGACACGGTACAGGAGATGACCAGAGACTGCGGACACGGTACAGGAGATGACCAGAGACTGCGGACACGGTACAGGAGATGACCAGAGACTGCGGACACGGTACAGGAGATGACCAGAGACTGCGGACACGGTACAGGAGATGACCAGAGACTGCGGACACGGTACAGGAGATGACCAGAGACTGCGGACACGGTACAGGAGATGACCAGAGACTGCGGACACGGTACAGGAGATGACCAGAGACTGCGGACACGGTACAGGAGATGACCAGAGACTGCTGACCTTTGGGGAGGGAGGGGGAGCGGGTACATGAATTTGACAGGTACCCGCTCCCACTTTCGCGGAGTTGGCCTTCCCTCTTCTTCCCGCGCCGGCTTCTGTGACAGCCGGGTGCCCACTGCGCATGCTCGAGAAGCGCTTCGGTTTGTCAATGGCCCGGCGCCTTCTGGGACCTGTCATGTGTCCCAGAAGACACCGGACCATTCACAAAGTGAAGCGAATGCGCAGTGGGCACCCGGCTGTCACAGAAGTCAGTGCGGGAAGACTGTACAGCGCTGGAGCGAGGAACAGGTAAGGCCCTGCAAGAGAGAAGAGCTGAGCGGCCGGCCCGGTATTTTGACATGGTGGCGGCAGCAGAAATATTGGACCGGCCGCTTTATATTCGCTCCATAAGAAGCACTGACATTTCCCCCCACCTTTTTTTGGGGGGGAAAAAAGTGCGTCTTATGGAGCGAAAAATACAGTAAATGTGTATATATTGGAGAGATGTACTGCACTTTTTTTTTTTGCACCTTAAAGGTCCCATCCACCGAAAAATATTTTAGTTGTAGTGGATTCTGTTGATTTTTAAATCACCAACTAGCTTTATATAAGCTCAGTGGTGCCACTTTTCCGTGGGAATTGCATATGCATATCTTCATAGAATGAGAGCTGCTAAGGTAAATGTAATGTAAAATGAAATCTCCATGAGTGTGAGGCATAGGCAGTGTAAGCTATGGAAGGTGGGTGGAGCTGAGAACTTAGAAACTTCAATGGTTTGACTGTTGCATCCTATGTGTTATAAGCACAGTGGGTGCCTTTAGCCCACAAGGATTTGCAAGAAACTTATTTTGTCAGGGAAAAATGGAAAAAAATAACTATGCAGGGCATCTTTGCAATAAATTCAGGGTTTAAATGGATAAGACATGGGGACATTTTCAAGTACAGAAAAAATACCCGTTGATCCTGGTAGAAATGCACTCGACTACTAATTTATTGTTGTGGGCTGACAGAATAAAGCCTACAGAATAGAAACGGCAAACAAGTGCTGTCAGTCCT